TCAGCCATAATTCACTGGCTTGAGACCCATCATCCACGATAAGAATGAAAAGAACAGAAATATTGCTTTTGTTTTGGTAAAAAAATTCGAAAAATCGAAAGGGCTGCTACGCGTTCAAAGTGCCCACGGACGTCTTTCACAAATGCTGGCGACGGGGATGCTTCCACTTGGTTCTTGGAGTGCCTTCACTAGAAACTCTTTCTGGCCTTCTGCTTTATTGCATTCACATCTTACACTTCTACTCCATCCTATTCTATCGATCGATTTGTCTCTACTCTCCGAAATCGCGCGCTTTAACCCGATTCTTTCATTGCGTCGCCTGATACGTAGGCGCCCCAGGCGGACTTCTTTCCATGCCCCGCCTTTGGCTCCGCCCGAATTACCTTCGATTGTCCATAGAATGGATTTTCGTGAGTTTGTTTCTCTTCGGAAACCGAACCTTCATGCGTGAAACTTGTGTATTGCATCTAGTGATCACAACTGATACATTCATGTTGAAAAAGAATGCAAGAATTTTTCGCGAAATATTTCTTCAAGAGAGTTTCACAACTGTGTGAACATGGCCTATCCTCTTGACGTTCTTGATGCCCTACTTATTCGCATTGTCTTCATTCTCTCAGTGTCCTGCCAGCTGTTAAGGTTGAATGAGTCTGCCTTGTTCAGACAGAGGCAGTAGGCAAATCACAATAAGTGCAAAGGTAGTGCAACTCCCTCTTTTGGCACAGCAAAATGTCCTGCCGGTATAATTATTTGGGATTGATAGTAAATTATGTACTACAGGATTAATCTGAACCTCCTAATGAAGCATTATTGGACTGACTCAGGCGAGATCGCATTGCCCACAGCACGCCGTCTCCGGGACTGGCGAAGAACTGTTCCCTAGAACATGCTACAGCAGAGTGGACACTGGGGGCTTCGTAGAGCTCTTGTGCTGGTGAGCACACACGCTGTGAAAGCCAAAAACCTTATGCGGCGCTTGAAATTGAGAAGGCTTAGAGTTTTAGAATTTGTTTCAAAATTCTGCTTCGGCAGTCTTCCTTGTCTATGCACCGAAAAGGTACGGCAAAGAAGAGCGCGATAGGCTGCATACAAAATTGGAAATCCCTAGAAATAGCAGGAGACTTTCTTATCGGAGCTCACGCAATAAAACTGAATAAGCGAAGTGGAAGACTGTCCGAGTTCATCATGACGACAAACCCAGTCCAGGGGAGTCGCAGCTTTGAAGTTTCAGCTATCGTGATGGATGGCTTCATGGTGAAATAGTTGAGACCTTCTTCACAGAAGGTTGTTCCTGACCCACGTTGCTGTGATTCCAAAGTCGACACGATATCGAGCTTCAGTTTTCACACAGAAATGCTTTCGTCGACGTATCGAGTAAAAGTGGTAGGTAGAAGCGAAGTTTTAAGACGATCATCAATGAGGATTTCAGTTGTATCGTCTGCTTGTGGGAGTGTTGCGTTAAAGAATATCGACGAGCAATAACATCGTCTCCTCGGCGTAAGACGACTTCGAGAAGGTAATACCACCTCGTCCAAACGCTTCAGCGCCAATCAACGCCAAACGTCGTGCGTCAGTTAGAGTGGGAGGAGCACCTCTGGTCTACTGGCAATATCATTTTCATCACGCTCATTATCGAGGGCAGGCAGGGCGTGTTGCCTATTATCGGCTGCGCTTTAGGAGAAATGGATTAATAACTGGTGTCCCATTCACGTCCATCGGAACGAAGTCTCTGGGTCGGGAAGGTAACATGATGAAAGATCTACTTCCAAAGCTGAGCAGGAGGAAACGAGCGGCATGGGGAGCGTATAAGAACATCGAGGGAGTAGTGAAGAAGACGAAGAACATCCGGCTCCGTGCCCACCTCTTCGATTCCGCTGTCCTTCCTGCCCTAACCTATGCCTCAGAGACTTGGACTCTGCGCAGGCAGGACGAGCATGCGGTCAGCGTTATCCAACGCGCTGTCGAGAGGACGATGCTAGGAGTAACCCTATACACGCAAGTGCAGAGGGGAATTCCGAATACGTCCATGATTGAAGGGATGCTGCCGTTTTCGTCAAGGAAGAAGATAAGGTGGGCCGGACACGTGATGCAATTTTGTGATCACCGTTGGAGCAGAGCAGCTATCCCTCCGGACGTCGAACGCTCACCAGGACAACCGCCGCCCCAAAATCAGACTTCTTTACGAAGGCTCTGAAAAAAAGAATGAGAAGTCCGCGTCGCTCGAGCGAGGACAACCCATCAGACTACACCTGCATGCTCCCAAGCACACGATTAATCTTGCTCAATTAGCAGTGCGCCCGCGCGGAGATACATGCAGCTAGTGGGTGATTGTTTGCCAGATTATCCAGGGTATATCTGCAAAATAGAAAAATTAATCTACAAAGCGGACAATAGAGTTTGGGCAATGGGAGGAGATTTATTCAAAAATCAAAAGTGGAAGGCGAACCTATCGGGAAGAGAGCGCTTTCTTAGTTAGCGGGCCGGGCTCTCTTCCAACAGCAAGATGCAGAAGCAGCGTTTTTAAGAAGAGTTCCATGTACATAGCGACACCCCCTCCCTCTGTCTGATGCTAGTGTATATTTTTTGCAGGGAGCTTTACTTAATTGATGCGCAGGTTTAAAGGCAAAGTCAGGCTCAGCCTCACTAAGGAGGTGTTTCCTATGGGCGGAGGTGGTAGGTACGAAACTGTAGAGGTTGCGACAGCTTAGCTTAAAACAATTTAACTAAAGCGCCTAGCGCCAACATTTTCGATCTGCCGACGTCTAATCAGCTAAACGTACGATGTCTTCTTCGT